TATCTAAAGTACTTTATTCGAAGACTTTATTATATTATCTCTAACTATTCGGAGTTATATTTACTATACTCTAGTAAGCGATTAGATCGTTTACTTATCTAAATCTATCGAATAATATTATATTAGACGGCTTCTATAAACGAGTAGACGTAAGATCTTCTAGTTTATCGTTTCTAGTACGTATATACTAAACTATAGCTTCTTTAGAATTCGAAAGAGTCTAAAGTAGTTAGATTTAAATTTCTACTTTAATATATTATTTAGAAGGACGAAATCGCCTTCTTTAAGTAAAAGATATAGCGTTTCTAAACGCGTTAATTATAGTTTTTAAGAGTAGAGTTCTCTCTCGACTAGTAGCTTATTTACTTTATAACGTATAATATATAGCTATTCTAGTCTCGAGGTAAAGTCGATATTAAGATTTAATAGATCGAATTCTCGTTAATCGTCTATTAATCGAGATTCGAGTCCGTAGATAAGCTTATATAAACTTATTCTAGTTACTATATAGAATCTAATACGGGTTACGAATAACGTTAATAAAAGATACTTATTCTATAAGAGAATTTATTATTTAATAAGTTACTTCGTTAAGATCTCGCCTAGTATTCTATTAAATCTTTCTATCTTTTTATTAGTCTAAGAGTAGTAAAAGATTATTATACGATACTTTATCTTAACGCGATTAAGGTAGTACTCGATAATCTTCGAGATTAGATTAGCGCTATTATTCGATAATAATTCTTAAAATACTCTATACTAGTAGTAGATTTCGAATAGAAAGTCGATAACTACTTCGTTTATAGCGTTCTTTACGATCTTTACTATCGACTAGTCTATAGAGAAATTAATAGTCGTTAGGATCTATTAATTTCCGTAGAGCGTAGTTAATAGCGAGCTAATAAAGTCGATTATCTACTTCTCGAAGAGTCGGGAGATCCGTCTAATCTATAAATATAGTTCTTTCTAGTTCTTCTTCTATCTCTAGACTAATTAGTATTAGTTATAAATTCGAGTATATATAAGAATATTCTTTATTATAGATAGTTATTATTTACGTATCTTAACGATACTTTCTATAACAGCCGCGCTATAGTATTCGTAGTATTTATAATAATACTTAATAAAGTCTCGATAGAATAATATAGAGATAAAGAGAGCGAAGTAATTACTAATCTTTCGAAATAGATAGTCTTCTTCTATAAAGTATTAATCTAGATTCTTAATACGCACTAGCTACTCTTACTAGACCGAACTTAAGTCGAATTTATTCTTCGTTATTAATCGAACTATAACGATATCTTTCTATTCTATATTATCGTTCGAATATACTATTTATTAAATATTTAGAAATACTTCTATATCGCTAGAGATCTATACTTTATTAGTAGAGCTTTTTTCTAGAAAATTAGATCGTC